TAGTTCAGCATGTGGCACTTAAGACATGCCCCTTGTGTTCTTGTGAATCCAAACATAGAATAGAGCAATAAGAAATGGGGGTCATACAATGTCGGGACAAAACCACATAACGATCAACCATAAGTATACACATTATGATGCAATGGGAGTGCAATGCATGTAGATGTCGCTCCTCATTTTCAACATTCAAATCATCTCTTTCAAACTGTTAATGTAACCCCCTTCGGTGACTCCGCAGCGCCGAGAGAAGGATTGGCTACTGTCCCTGACCTTTGGTGACTCCGCAACGTCATTATGGGGCCCAGATAGCTCAACCACGCTAGGGCAATCTCCCTAATTCCCTCTAGGTTACATTAACCTATCGGCCCGTTGGTGACTCCGCAGCGACCGGGTTTTATCAAAATCAATTTTCTTTTCAAAATCAATTTTTCCATTCCTTGCCCAATGTAAATGCATAGATGCATTTATGTCATGCCAATACTCATCATCTCACAATTAGCTCAAATTTAATTAGCTAACACAATTCATAAGAACTTCTAAAGAAGCTACAACATGCTTTTATACAATAGAAATAACATAATGGAATTGTAAATTCAACATTTAGGCATATCCTTCATACATCATTTATAGTATATTAGCAACACAATGAACACAAAACTCAACATATAGTATGCTTTTATATACAATCAAGTTAACACATAATCATACAAATTCACATATTCTCAATTAAGTCAATTTAAACAAAAATCAAAGCAACTAAGCATGCTAAGACAAAATTCAAGTAGGTTAATTCACTAAAGCACAAGAACTTCATGGATTAAGGACCTCTACCTCAATTTGAGCAAAACCCTTAAAATGGGTTAAGAATTTCAAAATCCAAAGGGATGCCCAAAGTTGGAATTGGTGGTACACACGCGTAGAGCTCGTTGTGGGCTTTGTTTTGCCTCAAACGGCACCTCAAAACTCCAAGTATTGAAGTTGGAATCAAGATTTAAAGGCTTGAAACCAAAAAAAAAGAAAAAAGAAATGGAAATGAAGGAGAGGGAGAGACTTACGGGGAGAGAGAAAGAGTGAGAGAGAGGATGTGGTCTCAAGACCACTTTTGAGGTTAGTGGTGGGCCCCACAAATTTCTTTTTCTTTTCTCTTTTTCTTTTGCTTTAATTCCTACACCACACACACCTATACAAGTGCACCACCACAAAATGCTACATAAGTCACATGAAAATAAATGCACCAAATACAATTGGACTCAACCAAAATCCCACGCGTAAAAGTGAAATGACCAAAATACCCTTGCGGTAACAAAATTCCAAAAAATTGAAAAATGCTGAAAATTGGAAACGTTATAGGTCCTTCCTCTTCACCTCCATCTCCTGCCACATCATCCTCTCCCTCCTCCACCTCCTCCTCATCCTCCGCCGACCCAACCCGTTCCCCTCGGACCTGTCCCAGCTCTCTACAGCCTCTCCATGGCCATCATCTCCGCCACAACCTTCGCCGATATCCTCCTTTCCGCCGCCGCGAAGATCTGCGACACCCGATGGTTCTGGCGCCTCTCCAAGACCCCCTTCCAGTGGCTCCTCTGCTTCCCCCTCGGCACCTGCTCCTCGGGTTGGGTCTTCTTTTGGTCCTACATCTTCTACCTCTCTCGGTTCCTCCACACTTTCCGAACCTACTTCACCGTCCCCTGGCGACGAAAACTATCCTTCCAATTCTTCAGTCAAGCAATTCAGATTTTCATAACCTTTCTCTGGCTTGAATTCTCTCAATCGTTTCAAATTCTGGCGATTCTGGTCACGAGCTCGGTCTATTCGGTGGTTTACGGGTACAGATTCTGGGTGGCGATTGGATTGCCGAGCGGAGAGATTACCGATGGCGGTGGAATTTAGTGATCGGGTATTGGAGTAAATCGGCTATGTTTGATGTGTATTTTTGCAGTTGCATTAGGGTATATTTTGTGCCAGAAAAGAAATAGGGGGCAGTAGGGTAATTTGATTCAAAAAGTGAAAAGGTCATTTTGGGCAACAAAGTATAGTGAACGGTAAAAATTCATGTCCACGTTATTAATTTGGTCAATTACATTTTTTTGAAACTATGGTACTTTGACTACATAATACTGTAAATATAGCCCCATAAGTACATTTATATGTAAAAATCCCTAAATTAAAATCATAAAGAACATAGATTATAAAATAAAAACATATCATTATTTCAATCAAAATAGAAAAAGAGTCATACAATTGAAAATCGTGACCGATTGTCCAAACATACGAGGTCTCAAGGTGGTTGGTTTCACGCTGGGTTCACATCATCAACAAATATGTTTGAAACGTGATGACTATTATAACATTGCAATAAAAATTTGCAATAAAAATTAAAAAATTAATTGCTCAAATGTCAAAAAACTTATGAATTGTAAACATTCTACGTGTCACCTAGAATTAAAACTTTACAAATAAGGCCAACAACTTAATTGTCATAAGATGACAGTTAAATGTATCCTAAAAGTTACTAAATCTTTTACATAAAATCTTTTGAACAGGGTATTATGCAATCAATTCAAAAGAATAGATTAGATTTTTTTAAAAAAAGAAAAAATATAACCAATTCTTTTGTCGTAATGTAACTTGAGAGACAGGGTGTCTTACAATTGCAAATTTTTAATAAATAAGGAAGATTTTATGCAATTAATCTTAATTCATGATGAAAAATTAAATCTTTTAGGGTCCTTTTACTAAAGCTTTCATTTTTTTACTTTTATTTTCTCCAAAAATAAAATTATGTTTTTGATTTCTTGAACTAAAATAGAAAGTGAAATAATGTTTAATAATTTCTTTTGCTTTTAATATTTGAAAGTAAAAAATAGAAAGTAAGTTTAATAATTTTAATTTTGCTTTCCTGATCTTGTGCGTAAGAGAGGGAAACAAAGTCACATAGACTTCTCAAGTCTGATATCAATATATACACAAACACAAATGATTACAAACATATATATATATATATATATACAACCTCTGAATATAGGTGTGATTCTGGTTGTGATTCTAGTTGAATTCACCTCTATATCTCCATTGGTCTATAGAAAAAGTATAGAGACAGATTGACGAGGCTGATATTCACCCCTATAGAGCATTTCCAAACAAAAAATCCATCCAACAACCAAAACAAAATCGATTAGTTCCTGTTAGCGAATCATCTCTCTCTTCCGATGCCGGAATCGTGGACCTTAACCTCATCAATCTTTCTCTATATACTGTGTGCCAATGCCGGAATCCATGGAAACCAGAGCCTCAAATTTAGGTCTCCCTCTCCAATGCACAATTGCCGGATTCCTTGATCACATCGTCACAGCCTCATCACCGTTCGGTCTACCGATAAGTTCAGTCCAACCTTAGCTTGGAGACACTGCTCGTTGCCGCCGTTCATCTACTTTCAGCCAAGTGGGCTTAGGTTAAACCAGTAGAGAGAGAAACTAGAGAGAGAAAGTGTTTATGTATTTTCTCTCCTCTAATCGGATGCTACTCGAACTCCATCGTCGGTGGCGGCGGAATTTGAGACCACTAGGGTCTCTGATTCGGTAGAGAATTCCGTTGATTTTAACTTCTTTGAGAAGGAATTTCATATACAACTTGCTCTTTCAAAACGATGAAGGGTTTCAGATTTCAATGGCTGATCAATGGTGGGGAGGAGGTGGGTGATTCGGCGGATGACGCCATGTTAAGAATTTTTTTTTCTTTTTTTCTTGTTAAATAATGCTACAGTACAAAAAGTAATTCCTACGAACAGCGTAAGAAATAGAGAAAGTGAGGATTTCTCACTTTTTCTTCTCTTCAAAAAATTAGAAAGTACTTTCTTAAAACAAAAAAGTAAAAATATTTTATTAAACATGATTTTTATTTTTATTTTTCAATTTTAATAATCGACAGTAAAAATCAGAAATCATTTCTGTTAGTAAACAAACTCTTAATAAGTGCTATTCTTAATATGTTAAATGCAGTGGTCCAAAAGCCTGAGGGCTGATTTGACTTGGTCGTCGCACCATGCTCTCGTTTCCAATTCTAAGTGAATTAGTGAATTTCAATAACTGGTGGTCAGTCTCACTTTAAAATTCTTACATTACCCCTCTCTGAAGTTCAATTATAAGATTTTTCAAAAAAAATAAATAAAAAAAAAAAGAAGAAAGATGAGCAAAGACAGAGACACTGCTATCTACAGGAAATTTTCTAAGAGAAAAGATTATGTAACGCCAAAGCAACCACTATGGAAAAACATTTACAATAATGTATGTGAAAAGCAGCCTGAATACATTTATAAATTTCAATAGCAGAAATTATGAAAACAAACAATTATTTACAATAGAGAAAGATAAAAAGAAAATAAAGGGTTATGCTGATGGGTAATGCTTTTTGAGGATTTGTAATTATCAAAAAAAAAAAGAAAAAGAAAAAGAAAAGATAAAAATATATATTAAAAAATGAAAAAAGGATTCCCTTCGTCTTCTTGCATTACTCTTTTCCGTTTTACTTATGGAGATTATACAAGAAAAATGTTAGTTTCATTACGTTACCTTTTTATTTCTTTCATTCTGAACCATTTGAAATATTAGGGCTGTGAGATGAATTACAACCTTGATATATATATATATATATATATACATATATTAGACTTGCTGATGCACAAAAAAGAGGACAAAACAACAGAACAATCCTGTTCACCAAGGAATTTGCAACTGGAATATGAAAAATTGAATAAGGAAAAACAGAGGCAACTTTTTCAAACTTTCAAGAATGATACATAGTTTTAACTAATTGAACATACTCCACATATATACAAAATTTTTATTTCATTCACCTCACACTCTGACTTGTCTACGCTAGCAGTTGATGAATTTTATAGCGAGATAGAACCTTTGGGGGTCCAATATTTTTTTGACTTTGTGGAATGGACCCCTTAATTTAGACATGGTAGTTTGGTTATACCATTCAAGTTCTATCTCTTATTTGGGCCGGAAATAATGGACTTGAAGACCAAGTCGTCTCAAAATTGTTCATGGAGTTATGTGACGACCCCAAGTCGTCCCAACTTTGTTCATGGAGTTATGCGAAGACCCAAAGTCGTCCCAAAATTGTGACTAAAACTTTAGCATTTCTTCATGTGTATGTGTGGGTATATATGTGTGTGTATATATGAAGAGAATGTATCCATAAAATCTACTTTAAAGCATTTCAAAAGTTACGGTGTAGGAGAAATGGGGTTGGTTTGTTTCCTCGCTTCTTTTCTTCTGCTTGCAGCATCTTCATTTGCAAGGCATCAAGGTATGTGATGTGCATATCTCATTTGGTTCAATGTAATATTGTTTGCATCATTTTCACACACACACACACACACACATATATATATATATATATATATATATATATATATATATAAAACATTTTCTTTGTTCACATATAGGATGTAATCCTCTGATTCCATGGATTTTATTGATTGGGAATATGACCATATAAGTATTTATATGTTGTGCATACTATTTTCATATTAATTTTCTTGTATTTTTCTCTTGTTTGAGCAGAATCTGAGCAAGGACTCAGCCATTCAACTTTGCATTTGTCCTTGTATAATGTGCAAAGACATGACTCGCACAGATCAGGACACCTCTTTGGAACAGACTCCATCGACACACCCTTGAAAGCTGCTACTCGGAATAAGGAGGGCAATTACTATATCAACATCAACCTTGGCACTCCGCCCAAACCCTATGCCGTGATGGTCGACACTGGCAGCTCCTTCTCGTGGGTGCAATGCCAGCCCAAGCCATATCCCTCTGCATCCCCCACCTTTAAAAAGTTACCGTGCTCGAAACCCGAGTGCAGTTTACGCGGGGAAGCCACTCCAGTTGACCCTAAATGCACTGATCCTAGGGAGTGCAAGTACAATGCTAGCTATGTGGACACATCTTTCTCCTTTGGCTACTTGTGTCGGGATTTACTGACCCTAACACAATCAGATAAACTGCCAGGTTTTGTGTTCGGGTGTGGGCAGGGCAGTCACGAGTTTACGTTTACCAGTGAGTTTGCTGGTATTGTTGGCATGGCTCGTGACAATCTCTCCATGATCTCTCAGCTTTCGGCCAAGTATGGACATGACTTCTCGTACTGCCTCCCAACAGTGCAGGGACGCAGTGTAGGCTTATTGTCCATAGGAAAGGATTCATTGACGAGATCATCCTACAAGTTCACTCCAATGCTTAACATTTCCAAAGGTAACAGGGGTAGCAGCTTGTACGGCTTGAGTTTGACCGCAATTGTAGTGGCGCGAAAGCCACTCGGAGTAGCAGAAGCCGAGTACAAGCGTTCAACGATTATAGATTCTGGGACAATGGTCACGCGCTTGCCCACATCAGTATATAAAGTTCTTCGCGATGAGTTCAGAAGTATCATGTCAAAGCACAAACTTATCCGGACTAACCCGACTTCTGAATATCTCCGCACATGTTATAAAGGTAGTTTGAAGCAGATGTCATCATATGTGCCTGAGGTTCGGATGGTGTTTCAAGGAGGGGTTGAACTCACTCTCGCACCTCAAAACATTCTTGTAGAAGGGGACGAGGGCACTATGTGCTTGGCCTTCGCAGATTACTCAGACACTGATGAAATTGCCATTATTGGAAACATTCAGCTGCAGACATATAGTGTGGCTTATGATGTCTCTAATTCAAGAATTGGGTTTGCTGCTGGGGTCTGCACCTAGTTATTAAAATGTTAGCATCTTTTTTTCATGTATCAAACATTATGGCATCTCATGAAAAAGGAGTCGTGGGTATGCCCTGCAACAACCCTCTCTATATGATAGGTGAACATTCCGTGACCCTAAATTGTTGTTATTTGGATAGTAAATCCCATGTTTGTGTATGATTTTGTGTTATTGTATAAGAAAGTAGATGATAGAACCGATTAACAAAAATAATAAGTTTTCAAATAGTTTCAAGTAAAGGCTTAGAGGCATGTAATGATTTCATATAGATAGTAAATCCCATCTTTGTGTATGATATTGTGTTATTGTATAAGAAAAGTAGATGATAAAAGGGTTTAACAAAAATAATAATTTTTCAAATAGTTTCAAGTAAAGGCTTAGAGGCACGTCGTGTAAATAAAACATACATTAAATTGGAAAACCACATATTTAACAATCTTTTTGCTCAACAGCCTGCCCAAAAAAACTATAATTGTCATTTTTATAAAAAATTGTTCAAAAGGTCTATAGGATAGAAAAAGTTAAGGTGTACCAAATCTTAGAGAATGTCAAAGTAATAAGCCATTAATTTATTCATATTGAAAGGGCAATTTTGTCCTTAAAACATTACCATTTTTAGCGTCCAAATAAATAAGGAAGATATGATGTTTTATTATTGAATTTATAATCAATCAGAGAAACAACTGAATGACTATAGTACGGTCCAATTCCTTATATTATAATTTTTTTTAAATATACATCATTAACTAAAGGCAACATGGTTTAAAAAAAAAACTAAAGTAAACATGAAGGGTACAATGTATATATAGAATGATACGAGATACATATATATATATAGAATGATACGATAACTTAGTTTCTTATCATCTTGAGATTAAGGAGTTTGTGTATGTATAATTTTAAAATGCTATTTCTGTTGGACAGAACTTTTTGTTAGAAATTTTGTTTGCAAATTATTTTCTATTAACTTTCTTCTTGACTCCGTTTGGTTAGATGGGAAATATATATATATATATATATATATATATATATATATATATATTTTAAACACTTTAGAAGCTTGGGTTGGAGCAAAAGGAAAATTTTGAAGAAAAACTACTTTCCATAACCACCTAACTTTCTCATAAAATATTTATTCTATTCAAACCATAAAATGATTAATCTTTCATAATTTTCTTAAAATAATTTCAGGCTAACAAACACTAAGAAAATTTTCATTTCATTTCATTTCATTCACTTCATTCTCTTTGACTTATTCTACGCTAGCGGTTGATGAATGTTATTGCGAAGGAGAACATTTGGGTGTCCAAATATTTTTTTTTTAACTTTGTGGAATGGACCCCTTAATTTAGACATGGTAGATTGGTTATGCCATTCAAGTTCTATCTCTTATTTGGGAAATCATGGACTTGAAGACCAAGTCGTCTCAAATATATTGTTCATGGGGTTATGTGAAGACACCAAGTCGTCGTTCCAACTTCAATTGTTCATGGAGTCATGCGAAGACCCGAAGTCTTCCCAAAATTGTGACTAAAACTTTTGCATTCCTTCATTTGTGTGTGTGTGTATATATATGTGTGTGTATATAAGAAGAGAATGTATACATAAAATCTACTTTAAGCATTTCAAAAGGTACGGTGTAGGAGAAATGGGGTTGGTTTGGTTCCTCGCTTCTTTTTCTGCTTGCAGCATCTTCATTTGCAAGGCAACATGGTATGTGATGTGGTTATAACATTTACTTTGTTCATATATAGTATGTAATCCTCTGATTCCATGGATTTTATTGATTGGGAATATGACGATATAAGTATTTATATGTTGTGCATACTATTTTCATATTAATTTTCTTGTATATTTCACTTGTTTGGGCAGAATCTGAGCAAGAACTCAAGCATTCAACTTTGCATTTGCCCTTGTATCATATGCAAAGACATGACTCGCACAGATCAGAACCCCTCTTTGGAACAAATTCCATCGGCACACCCTTTATAGCTGATACTCGGGATAAGGGCAATTACTATATCAATATCAACCTTGGCACTCCGCCCAAACGCTATGCCGTGATGGTCGACACTGGCAGCTCCTTCTCGTGGGTGCAATGCCAGCCCAAGCCAAATTCCTCTGCATCCACCACCTTCAAAAAGTTACCGTGCTCGACAACCCAGTGCAAGTTACTCAGGGAAGCCACTCCAGAAGGCCCTGATTGCACTAGTCCTAGGGAGTGCAAGTACAAAGCTAGCTATGTGGACGGAACTTTCTCCTTTTGCTACTTGACTCAGGATTCACTGACCCTAACACAATCAGAAGAAACACTGTCTGGTTTTGTGTTCGGGTGTGGACACTGGCAGGACAGTAATGGGTCTACGTTTACCAGTGAGTCTGCTGGTCTTGTTGGCATGACTCGTAACAACAAACTCTCCATGATCTCTCAGCTTTCGGCCAAGTATGGACATGACTTCTCCTACTGCCTCCCAACAGCACAGGGAGGCAGTGGAGGCTCATTGTTCATAGGAAAGGATTCATTGACGAGATCATCCTACAACTTCACTCCAATGCTTACTAATTCCAAAGATAGCGGGTTGTATGGTTTGAATTTGACCGCGATTGTAGTGGCAAACAGGACATTGGGACTGGATTACAATAAGGATCCAACAATTATAGATTCTGGGACGATGGTCACGCGCTTGCCTACGTTGGTATATGCAAGCCTACGTTATGAGTTCAAAAGGATCATGTCTCTAGAGAAAAAGAATATTCTAGTTGACTTGTCTTCTAAAGAATTTCTAGATACATGTTATAAAGGCAGTTTGAAGGAGATGTCATCATATGTGCCTCAGGTTCGGATGGTGTTTCAAGGAGGGGTCGAACTCCCTCTCGCACCTCAAAACCTTCTTGTAGAAGGGAACAAGCCGGGCACTGTGTGCTTGGCCTTCGCAAATTACATGGACAACGGTGGAACCGCCATTATTGGAAACATTCAGCTGCAGACATATAGTGTGGCTTATGATGTCTCCAATTCAAGAATTGGGTTTGCTGCTGGGGGTTGCAGCTAGTTATTAAAATGTTTAGCATCTTTCTTTTCATGTATCAAACATTATGGCATCTCATGAAAAAGGAGTCGTGGGTATGCTCTGCAACAACCCTCTCTATATGATAGATGAACTTTCCGTGACCCTAAATTTTTCTTATTTGGATAGTAAATCCCATGTTTGTATATGATATTGTGTTATTGTATAAGGAAGTAGATGATAAAACGGATTAACAAAAATAATAAATTTTCAAATAGTTTCAAGTAAAAGGCTTAGAGGCAGGTCGTGCAAATAAAACATCAAATTGGTAAACCACTTATTTAACAATCTTTTTGCTCAACAGCCTGCCCAAAAAAACTATAATTGTCATTTTTATAAAAATTTGTTCAAAAGGTCAAATAGGATAAAAAAAAAAAGTTAAGGCGTACCAAATCTTAGAGAATATCAAAGTAATAAGTCATTAATTTATTCATATTGAAAGGGCAATTTTGTTCTTAAAAAATTACCATTTTTAATGTCCAAATAAATAGGAAAGATACGATGTTTTATGATTGATTTTACAACAGATAAACAACTGAATGACTATAACACGGTCCCAATCCTCATGTTCTAATTTTTTTAAAATATGCATCATTAACTAAAGGGATCATGGTTGAAAAACAAAATAAATAAATAAATAAAAAATAAACTGAAGGAAACATGGAGGGTACAACATGTTAAAGTACACCTGATGCCAGTGAAACACTAAAATATAGGCATTTTTCAAAAAGCTAATAAAAAAATTAAGAAGATGAGCAAGGACAAAGGCACACCCACACTCTCTCCTTCCAAGAAAGGGTTGTGCCATTCACGTCTCTTTGGTTACGGTTCCATCTATGTTCATTAGAATTAGGGTTAAAACTCGGGTGAGTTAGACGAATTTGAGGTATAATTTGAACTCAACTTATTATATGAAATGTTAAACTTAAATCTAACCCAAGCCTATCTTCAATTCTAAATACTCAACCCGAGCCTAACCCATATTTCTACTTTTAAATTCAAATTTGTAATTCGGGCTTATATTTCATGTTAAAAATTATAGTAAATTTGAGTTACTCATATAGTTAATATTCACACCAAAATTTTAATATGATCTTGAATTAGTTTTAGATTAAATTACTCTTAAAAAAAATAAAAAATACTCACTTCTTTGAATTTAAAAGAAGTGAGTATGTTAAATGCAGTAGCGGAAAAGTCTCAGTGCTGATTTGACTTGGTCGTTAGAGCATGCTCTCGTTTCCAATTCAAAAATACCTGCACTGCCCCTCTCTCAAGTCGTTCAATTATAAGGTTTTTTTTTTTTTAAGAAAAAAAAAAGGGAAAAAAACCGAAAGATGAGCAAAGACAAAAGACACACACTCCTCTCTCTGTGGAAATTTTCAAAGATAAAAGTTTATGTAATGACAAAGCAGCCACTATGGACCTCGTAGTCTCTACACTACCAGTCTCTTACCAATAATGTATGTGAAAAGCAGCATGAATTCATTTACAAATGTCAATAGCAGAAATTATGAAAACAAACTATTATTTACAATAGAGAAAGGTAAAAAGAAAATAAAGGGTTATGCGGTTGGGTAATGCTTTTCGAGGATTTGAAATTATTAAAGAAAAAAGAAAAATTTATATATTAAAAAATAAAAAAAGAATTCCCTTGGTTTTCTTGCATTACTCTTTTCCCTTGGTTTTCTATCTCTTATTTGGGAAATCATGGACTTGAAGACCAAGTCGTCTCAAAATTGTTCATGGGGTTATGTGAAGACACCAAGTCGTCCCAACTTTAATTGTTCATGGAGTTATGCGAAGACCCAAAGTCGTCCCAAAATTGTGACTAAAATCGTGACCCAAAGTCGTCCCAAAATTGCACTTCATGTGTATGTGTGTGTAGATATATGTGTGTGTGTATATGAAGAGAATGTATCCACAAAATCTACTTAAAGCATTTCAAAAGGTACGGTGTAGGAGAAATGGGGTTGGTTTGGTTCCTCACTTCTTTTCTTCTGCTTGCAGCATCATCATTTGCAAGGCATCAAGGTATGTGATGTGCTTATCTCATTTGGTTCAATGTAATATTGTTTGCATCATTTTCATATATATATATATGACATTTTCTTTGTTCATATATAGGATGTAATCCTCTGATTCCATTGATTGGGAATACGACCATATAAGTATTATATGTAGTGCATACTATTTTCAAATTAATTGTCTTATATTTTTTCTCTTGTTTGGGCAGAATCTGAGCAAGGACTCAACCATTCAACTTTGCATTTGCCCTTGTATCATGTGCAAAGACATGACTCGCACAGACCAGAACACCTCTTTGGAACAAACTCCATCGGCACACCCTTGAAAGCTGCTACTCTGGATAAGGGCAATTACTACTATATCAACATCAACCTTGGCACTCCGCCCAAACCCTATGCCGTGATGGTCGACACTGGCAGCTCCTTCTCGTGGGTGCAATGCCAGCCCAAGCCATCTCCCTCTGCATCCACCACCTTCAAAAAGTTACCGTGCTCAACAACCGAGTGCAATTTACTCAAGGAAGCCACTCCAGCTGGCCCTGATTGCAGTAGTCCTGGGGAGTGCAAGTACAATGCTAGCTATGTGGACAAAACTTTCTCCCTTGGCTACTTGGGTCAGGATTCACTGACCCTAACACAATCAGAAGAAACACTGCCCGGTTTTGTGTTCGGGTGTGGGCAGGAGCGGGAGAGTCATGGGTTTACGTTTACCAGTGAGTTTGCTGGTCTTGTTGGCATGTCTCGTAACAAACTCTCCATGATCTCTCAGCTTTCGGCCAAGTATGGACCTGACTTCTCGTACTGCCTCCCAACAGTGCAGGGAGGCAGTGTAGGCTCATTGTCCATAGGAAAGGATTCATTGACGAGATCGTCCTACAACTTCACTCCAATGCTTACTAATACCAAAGATAGCAGGCTTAGCAGCTTGTACGGTTTGAATTTGACCGCTATTGTAGTAGCAGAGGCCCATTACAGTACAACTACATATCCTCTGACGGTGGCAATTATAGATTCTGGGACGATGGTCACGCGCTTGCCTTCGTGGGTATATGATAGCCTACGTGATGATTTCAAAATGATCATGTCCCAAAAAAAACAAAATACTACGTCTTCTCATAAATTTCTAGATACGTGTTATAAAGGTAGTTTGAAGGAGATGTCATCATATGTGCCTGAGGTTCGGATGGTGTTTCAAGGAGGCGTCGAACTCACTCTCGCACCTCAAAACATTCTTGTAGAAGGGAACGAGGGCACTGTGTGCTTGGCCTTCGCAGATTACTCAGACACTGATGAAATTGCCATTATTGGGAACATTCAGCTGCAGACATATAGTGTGGCTTATGATGTCTCCAATTCAAGAATTGGGTTTGCTGCTGGGGGCTGCAGCTAGTTATTAAAATGTTAGCATATTTTTTTTCATTTATCAAACATTATGGCATCTCATGAAAAAGGAGTCGTGGGTATCCTCTGCAACAACCCTCTCTATATGATAGACGAACATTCCGTGACTCTAAATTGTTCTTATTTGGATAGTAAATCCCATGTTTGTGTATGATATTGTGTTATTGTATAAGAAAGTAGATGATAGAAAAAATATTAGGAGTAGGTAATTTCGTTTTTAAAAATGTTTCATTTTTTAATTTCCAAACAAACAGGAAAGATGTGATCTTATATAAATAGGGAAGGACTCTATCACGGTCACATTTCTCATATATTATTATTATTATTATTATTATTTTTTTTTTAAATATGCATCATTAACTAAATGGAACATAGTTCGAAAAATTAAAAAAATAAAATAAAATACGACGTGTTAAAGTACACCTGATGCAGTGAAACACTGAAATATAGGCATTTGTCAAAAAGCTATTAAAAAAAAAAATTAAAAATGGGTCATAAATCATACCTGCCTTTTTTGATGGGTTAAACCAAAAGATAGAGACCCCAACCTAGCGCGAAGGGTGGTTTCCATCGGCATATTCTTATCTCCACCGTCAAGTTCCATAGCTCTTTCTTCCCTGTCCCAATTCGAAACCCTAATTTTCAGTCTTCTCTTCCGCTATCCGACCTCCACCAACTACGCTGCTGGCGGCCCGCAATGTTCTGGATTTCTTTCTCTCTAAAATCCTCTCCATCTTCCACCACTGATGCAATGTTATGCAGTTCTGAGATTGAGGCCTTAATTTTGCACCAACTGCATTCAATGTGGAGTATGTGTGTACACGGACAGTTTTTGCAACGAAACACCGGTTAGAGAAAAGAGAAAGAAAAATGTATGCACTGGTCTAAAATCATCCAATCGAATTCACTATTTGGACCAGATGTGCGATTAACATAGCAGAGGAGAGAGATCAGATATTGTATGCCCAACAATTTCTCCTCGTCGGCGATGAACAACGAATAATCCACGACAACCGTCGACTGGCAAAACTGTAAGTCGCTTCAATTGATTACTCTGATTTCATCGCCCTTCATATTTATTTTTAGTTTTTTTAATATTATTACATGATTTTTTTTTAGACGTGTCAAATTTTCACCAGGCCACCTCACCTAGTAGGACCAAGTTATCCTGATTGGGCAGGAACAAGAAGAAATTATTACGTTTACATAAACTCATAATTGACCGGCATGCCTAAGCAACTCAGTCCAATTACAAATGCATAAATAATTTTTAATTAGAGAATTAAAAAAATGATAAATAATTTTTATAATGTTGTTTGCAAGGGCAAAACTATCAACGGCCGAGGTTTCAGAGTTATTGTGATAAATAATAATAATAAGAAGAAGAAGAAGAAGAAGAAATTATTACGTTTACATAAACTCATAATTGACCGGCATGCCTAAGCAACTCAGTCCAATTACAAATGCATAAATAATTTTTAATTAGAGAATTAAAAAAATGATAAATAATTTTTATAATGTTGTTTGCAAGGGCAAAACTATCAACGGCCGAGGTTTCAGAGTTATTGTGATAAATAAGAAGAAGAAGAAGAAGAAGAAGAAGAAGAATAAGCAACTCAGTCCAATTACAAATGCATAAATAATTTTCAATTAGAGAATTAAAAAAATGATAAATAATTTTTATAATGTTGTTTGCAAGGGCAAAACTATCAACGGCCGAGGTTTCAGAGTTATTGTGATAAAGAAGAAGAAGAAGAAGAAGAAGAAGAAGAATAAGCAACTCAGTCCAGTTACAAATGCATAAATAATTTTTAATTAGAGAATTAAAAAAATGATAAATAATTTTTATAATGTTGTTTGCAAGGGCAAAACTATCAACGGCCGAGGTTTCAGAGTTATTGTGAAGAAGAAGACCTATGAACTGCATAAATTTGCTTGTGTCCACTTAAAATTTAATTTAACCTTCTTGAACTATAGAAAAATTACAAATAAGGCAAACAGCTTAATTGTCATTAGGTGACTGTTAAATGTGTCCTAAAAGTTATGAAATTACTCTTCAGCAAACCTATGAACTGCATAAATTTGCTTGTGTCCACTTAAAATTTAATTTAACCTTCTTGAACTATAGAAAAATTACAAATAAGGCAAACAGCTTAATTGTCATTAGGTGACTGTTAAATGTGTCCTAAAAGTTATGAAATTACTCTTCAGCACAAACTCCTTTGAACTATAAAAAATTTGTAAATTATCCCCTGAACATGGAGTAATATGAAATTTTCTTACTAATTGAGGGATGTTTGTGCAATTAATTCAAAAGGATAAATTTGAATTTCTTTTTCTTTTTCTTTTTAAAAAACCCCATTTCTTTGACTAATTGTAAGTTGTAACTTGATGGAAGGGTGTGTCTATATAGATATATATATATGTGTGTGTGATATTTAGTAATAAAAATTTTGTACAGGGGTATTCAAATTTTTAATAGTTTAGAGAAGTTTTATGCAACCAATTCTACTAATATAACACGAAAAATGAAATTTTTGGTAGCTCTAGGTAAAATGCGGTTGCTGAGATGTCGCATTTGAGGTACTCACATCATGCTCTCATAACCTCACAGTTTTAAGTGAATTATTGGAGCTCATGGGTCAGTCTCAATTTGAATAGATATGACGAGGAACACTGGGGACCTCATATGCTATGAGTAACCTACATAATCAACGGACCGTCAATCTCTTACTAGTTTGTTGCACAAGGAGCAATAATATGCATGTGAAAGCAGCATAATTACTTACTATGGAGTAATTTCAGTAGCAGAAATTAGGAAGAATTTTTTTTTTTTTTTTAATTTCATTATGTGAACTGTTTGAAATATTAGGACTCAGAGATAAACTTACAAGCTTGTTACAATATTTTTCCTAATAATAACAATAATACTAAAAAAGACTTGTTGATGTAAAAAAAGAGGACAGAGCTATAGAACAAACCTGCTCACCAAGGAATTTGCAACTTGAAGATGAAAGGGGAAAAAAATTTGAAAAAGGAAACACGCAACTTTTTCAAACCCTGAGGAATGATAGAAGGTTTTAATAAATAAAACATGTGAAGATTATACAAAATTATTGGAATCCATTTCTGGTAGAAAATTTGTTATACAATAAACACACACACACAAGAAGATCTTAATTATATGATAAATTAGTTTCCTTATCATTTTGGGATGAAGGTGCATATGATTTTCTTCTTTCTTGTTGGTGAACTGTACCAGTAGTTGCTGATTTTTATTGCAGAAGAGACATTTGGGCTTTCTAATCGTGGAATGGACCCCTTAATTTAGACATGATAGATTGGTTATACCATCCAAGTATCAATCTGTGATTTGGGACCTCTTGGAGTTATCTGAAGAATCAAGTTGTGTCGTAATTATTAAAACAAAAACTTTTGTTTTTCTCTTGTGTGTGTGTGTGTGTGTGTCAGAGAGAGAGAGATCTGAAGAGAATGAAGAATGATTACGTAACATGTACTTAAACCAATACAGCATTCCAAAAGGTGCAGGAGAAATGGAGTTGGTTTGGTTCCTCTCTTATTTTTTCTTGCTTGCAACATCTTCATTTGCTGGGCATCAAGGCATGTTGAATCTCATTTGGTTCAATAGTTTACATTTTCTTTCTTCACATATGGGATGTAATCCTCTGATTTCATGGATTTTATTGATTGGGAATGACCATATAAATGTTATATATTGTGCGTACTATTCATAGGAGTCATAGCTGAAAAGGGATATTAACTTTCTTTTATTTCTCTTTTTTGGGCAGAAGCTGAGCAAGGACTCAACCATTCAGCTTTGCACTTGACCTTGTATCATGTGCAAGGACATGGCTCGCCTATGACCTCCCAGTCTCCGCCATCCTTTTCCGAGTTACTTTCTCATGACCAAGCACGAGTTAAGCATCTAAACTCCAGATTCACTAAGACTAGAACAAGTGGTGCCACAAACTCCGCCTCACACAAATCGGAACACCTTTTTGGACCAAAGTTCATCAGCACACCCTTGAACCCTGGTCTGTCCATTGGTGCTGGCAATTACTATGTCAAGATTGGACTTGGCACTCCACCGAGTTACTATCCCGTGCTTGTCGACACGGGCAGCTCCTTCTCCTGGCTGCAATGCCAGCCTTGCCTCGGATACTGCCATCCACAGGTCGTTCCCTACTTTGATCCCACTGCATCCAGCACCAACAAAAAGTTATCGTGCACAACACCCGAGTGCAATTCACTCAAGGAAGCCACTTTGAATGACCCTGCTTGCACTTCTGCTAATGAGTGTGTGTATGAGGCTAGCTATGGGGACAAATCTTTTTCCAGTGGCTACTTGAGTCAGGATTCACTTAGCCTAACACAATCAGAAACACTGCCTGGTTTTGTGTACGGGTGTGGGCAGGACAATGAAGGATATTTTGGTAAGTCTGCTGGTCTTTTTGGCCTGGCTCGTAACAAGCTCTCCATGATCTCTCAGCTGTCAACCAAATATGGATATGCCTTCTCCTACTGCCTCCCAACAGCGAAAGGAGGCAGTGGAGGCTCATTGACCATAGGAAGGGATTCATTGATGGGATCATCCTATAAGTTCACTCCAATGCTTACTAATTCCCGAGAGAGCAGCTTGTACTTTTTGAGTTTGTCTGCAATTGCAGTGGCAGGCAGAACACTGGGGGTGACAGAGGCAGAGTACAAGGCTCCAACAATAATAGATTCTGGGACGGTGATCTCGCGCCTTCCTATGTCAGTATATGCAGTTCTCCGTGATGAATTCACCAAGATCATGTCATCAAAGCACGAAACTGCCCCCGCGTATAGCATTCTCGACACATGTTATAAAGGGAGTTTGAAGGAGATGTCAGATGTGCCGGAGGTTCGGATGGTGTTTCAAGGAGAGGCCTACCTCACTCTTGCGCCTCACAACATTCTGTACGATATTGCCGAGGAGAACATTACATGCTTGGCCTTCATAGGAAACTCGGCCAGTGATGGAATCGCCATTATTGGAAACACACAGCAACAGACATATAGTGTGGCTTATGATGTCACAAATTCAAGAATCGGATTTGCTGCTGGGGGCTGCAGCTAGTTATTTAAATGATAGTAACTTTATCTCATATATCAAACATTATGGCATCTCATGTAAAAGGAGTCATGAGGACACTCTGCAACAACCCTTTATATGTGATAGATAAAGATCCCAAAACCCTAAATTGTTCTTATTTGGGATCATAGATCCTAAGGTTGTATATGAAGATTGTGTTATTGTATAACAAAGAAGATGTTAGAACGAATTAAGAAAAATAATATCATCTTCATATTGTTGGATCATATTATAAATACAGACATGCAATAAATAACAATATTCCGAAAGAACATAATTAAATAAATTGCACAATTTTAAATCAGCAATTAATCAAAATTTAAGATGAAAAATGAAAATTTTATATATTAGGAAGGTTACATGCTGTTAATTTTAATTTAAGATGAAAATTGAAAATTTCAGTAATTAGTATATGTATGCAGTTGCTGAAAATTTTACTTGCATTAATGTTGGTCCTTGTTAACATTTTCGCATAAATGACTAAAGAAATGAAAATTATATTGATATTTAGAGTATTTGTAGCAGTATATTAAAACACTCTTTTGTGTAAAATATATACCGTCATGTATAATGTGAAATTTTTTTTTGATCTCCAACAACCTGTTAAGATATACTGCCGCGTCATCAATGTGTAAAATTATTATATATTTTACATAAATGTTTTATACAGTCACATCAGTATATTTCTTTTTTTCTCTATTTTTTTTATTTCATTAATGAATCAACCCTATAGTTAAACTTGAAGATGCTCTTGGATAAAAGATTCAGGAAAACCTTTCACATGATACAAAGTGGTGCGATCCGTCCCATCATATGCATTTTGTGAATGCACAATCATCGGATGAAAAAATGGTAGTCTCTCCAAATGAGAGACAGTTGCTTCTTATGATTGAATAAGTTGCGAAAATAATGACAGATTCGATTAATTTAGTAGACAAAAACACTCATCATGAGTTATTCAGTTCATAGATTCAACCCGCATCTCACGGTCCAGAAAGTTCAGGCCAGTTACCTTCCACCAAAAAAAAAAAAACAAACATGGTCCAGAAAGTTCACACCAATGATTTTATTAATGATTTCTCTCACCAAATAAAATCATTGCCCTTTTAAGTCAATGATTGGAACTCACGGGTCAGTCCCAATTTGAAAAGTCGTTGACTTTTATTCCAAAAGTGACCCTTTGGGAGTGCATATCATCGACCCATGTGCATACCCAAGTCCTTCCAAACTTGCTCATGGGGATATGTGAACACTCCAAATTGTCCCAAACTTGTGCATTGGGTTATAAGAAGACCCAAGTCGTCCCAAAATTGTGTTTCCGAGTGATATATATATGTATGTATATGTATTCATGAAATCTACTTGAATCATTTCAAAAGGTGTAAGAGAAATGGGGTTGCCTTGCTTCCTTGCTTCTCTTCTTCTGCTTGCAACATCTTCATTTGCACGGCGTCAAGGCATGTGATGTGGTTATTTCGTTTAGTTAATTCTCTATACTCTTTGCATCACACACGCGTGCGCACGTGTGTATCTTATATTTCTTTGTTCACATATTAGATGTGTTCTTCCAATTTCATGAATTTTATTGATTGGGAATGACTATAATATTTATGTTATATAAGAGCACATTAGTGCAACCAGACTCTCACTATTACAGAGTCTGAAAGAGAGATTGTTTTCTTATTTCGAAACTATGACCTGAAACAATCTTAGTATATAATTTTTTTTTTTTTTTTTTTGTAAATAGACCTATCTAAATATTATATGTTGTGCATTATAATATTCATAGCCAAAATGGGACATTAATCAACCTTCTTGTATTTCTCTTTTTTGGGCAGAAGCTGAGCAAGGACTTAACCGTTCAACTTTGCACTTGACCTTGTATCATGTGTTTGGACCTGAATCACCTCTGACCTCCCATTCTCCACCATCCATCTCTGAGTTACTATCTCGGGATAAAGCACGAGTTAAGCATCTCAACTCCAGACTCACCAAGATCAATAGAACAAGCAGTGTCGCAAATTCCACCTCACACAACTCAGAACATCTTTTTGGACCCTTGAACCTTGGTCTGCCTATTGGTATTGGTACGGGCAATTACTATATCAACGTTGGCCTTGGCACTCCACCCACCTACTACCACGTAATTGTCGACACAGGCAGCTCCTTGTCCTGGCTGCAATGCCAGTCATGCCCGGGGTGCAACGAACAGGTCCGTCCCTTTTTTGATCCCCCTTCATCCAGCACCTTCAAATTAGTACCGTGCACTACACCCGAATGCAATGCACTCAAGGATGTCACTCCAAACGGCCCTAATTGCATTTCTCTTAACACGTGCTTGTACAATGCTACCTATGGCGACGACTCTTTCTCCAGTGGCTACTTGATTCAGGATTCACTGACCCTAACACAATCAGAAACACTGACTGGTTTCGTGTGCGGGTGTGGGCAGCACAGTGAAGGGTTTTCGATTGAGTTTGCTGGTCTTTTTGGGCTGGCTCGAAACGAGCTCTCCATGCTCTCTCAGCTGTCAGCCAAATATGGAAATGCCTTCTCCTACTGCCTCCCATCAGCAAGTGGAACCAGTGGAGGCTCACTATCCATAGGAACCGATTCATTGATGGAATCCTCGTATAAGTTCACTCCAATGATTACTTCCAAAGACAACAGCTTGTACTATTTAAATTTGATCGAGATTGTAGTGGCAGGCAGGACAATGGCAGTGCCAACAGATCACCTTATGGTTATAGATTCTGGGACGGAGGTCACGCGCATACCTATGTCATTATATATAGATCTGGTTTATGTGGTCACAGAGATCATGGTTTTAGCAAACCACGAGACTGCGGGGAATTTTGACATATTTCATATGTGTTACCAAGGGAGTGTGAAGAATATGCAGTCAGATGTGCCCGAGATTCGGTTGGTGTTTCAAGGTGGGGCTGACCTCACTCTTGAGCCTCAAAGCCTTCTGATCGATGTGCCTGAGTTGGGCATTACGTGCTTCACTTTCGCACCAAACGTGTTCGATGATGACTTCGCCATTATAGGTAACATTCACCAGCGGACATATAGGGTCGCTTATGATGTCCACAATTCAAGAATTGGGTTTGCTGCTGGGGCCTGCAGCTAGTTATTAAAATGTTTTGGGATTGTAAATTCCATTTTTGTGTAACAAGAGCAGATCATATTGTATTATCGTCTGAGAAAGAAGATGTTAGTATGGATTATAAAAAATATTTACATATATATATATATTCAAATTGTTGAAACATATAAGTTTGGATGTTAATGATACGAGTTTCAAAGGATCCACCATAGTACAAGAAGTCAAAAAAGCAAATGTGCATACTAGCTACTACATTAAAAACACATACAGGGGCACAAGCAAAAAATATCTTATAATACGCATATGGAGTGTACAACCCTTATACTTTTTAATTATAAGTCTTTAACATTCAATTTTGAAGTAAATAAGGATATGAATGTTGAAAAGATAAAAATATCCCTCCATAACTGAATTAAAAAATAGGTTAAAAAACTAATTAAATATAAAATAACTAAATTGTAACTCTTTATATATATATAATATAGGATTGTGGGTAAAAAACACCCTTATGGTATGCATAAAGAGTGTATAACTCCCTATACGTTCTAAATCTCCTTAGCATTCAATTTTGATGCAAATAAGAACTTGAATGCCCAAAAAAACTAAATTTTCTCTCTACAACTGAATAAAAAATAAGTAAAAAAAAAAAAAAAACTAATTAAATTAATATGACGAGTGTATATATATATATATATATATATATATATATATAAGGACATTATCGGAAGAAATAAGAGTATTTTTAAAATTTTATATCTTAAAAATGTCATGTGCAATACACATGAATAAATTTTTTACGAAACAATGACTTCAAGCCTTTCTTTGTCACACTTTTTCAAACTTAACAGACTTAGATACTCAAAAGAAAGGATATGGGTGTTATTTACTCAAAATGTAAACATTATGGGTGTTTTTCTCACTTTGCCCTAATAAGGGCATTATAGGAAGAGATAATAGTGCTTTCAGAATTTTATATCTTAACAGTGACTTCAAACCCTTTTGTACTCATTTTTCAAATTTAAGGTATTTATATAAACAACATAAGCCATTTTTCGCTCATTTTTTCAAACTTAAAGAAGTTATATACCCAAAATAAACCATAAGAATGTTATTTACCCAAAATTAAAATATTAAGAGCGTTTTTGTCAATTTGCCCAAAAATATATAATACAATAATTAAGCATAGTTAAATTGTAATTACGTTTTTAGAAGTATGCAACCTACAAAATGCAATTTGGACAGGCACAACAAGAAAGGACAACAAAACGCTTTAGACTCTATTATGTGAATTGGCTTGGGTCTAAAAAAGCAAATAACCGTGTGGACCAGAATTACAGATATTAAATAAAGCTTCAATCCTAAGGCATATATGGGTTCTATGCTAAAATAGTGTTAACACATGGAAGGAATGGACTGCAATGAATTTGATTAAACTCCAGAGCCTTTGGGAACTAAAAATCCCAAGATACGCTCTTGATTTTTGATATAGGACAATCTTAGGACTTTTTCCCTAATGCACTTTTGTTTTGATTTTTTATAATTGTTAAAAAGTATTTAATTTTAAGTAATTTCTTTATGTTTTTAGTTTCTTTATAATATCTTAGGGTTAATTCATAAGTTGATTAATTATATATCAGTTTATTCTGCAATTTTCTTTTAATTTTGTGGATTCAAAAAAAAAATTTCGAACTTTTTTTTATTCTTATTATTATTAAAAATTCATAACTTTTACTCCGTCAATTTTGGAGAGATTTGCTGCCGAACAGAACATTGGCTCAACCTCTCCTGCAGCACAAAATCAACAAAAGAGACCCCACCATGGTCTTCTTTGACAACTGGCTACTATGTAGACCATTAAATCGGGTACTAGATTCTACAAGACAGGGACTGGAGTACCAAGTCTCAATTATGGGATGCAACCAAATGTTTGTGTACTATGATGTCTAAGTGCAGCCGAAAATCACAACCATATAATATATATTCACAACCATCTATTTTTTGGAACAACTTGCAAGTAAAATGTGGCTTCTATACCAAAATCCTAACAATTGGGATGATTTCCTCATTTAGGGCATCATTGAAATAGAAACTAAAATTGAAAAAGAGGGGAATCATTAT